TATAGGGTTTATATAAATTCGCTTTAGAAAGACATGAGCAGACACTTGTTGCCTCTGTCGGAATATTACGGCAATATTCTTCACAACAGGAGCGTCATTGGGTTTACCGAGGTGCAGTTCCAGACAGAAATGTTAGCATAGAAGGAAGATGGAGCACTCACCTGCTCAGTAGTTCTCTGCGACTCCCCCTTCTATCTGTGTCAATTTGTTCACTCTCTATTCCTTCCTTCCTCTCCCTCTCTCACACACACCCCCACACACGCACTGGCTTCACCGACTGTGTGGGCTGTGTGTCCGGTGAGCAGTGGTAACTCAGCCCCTAGAGAGGAGGTGGAGCCCGGAGTACCACCGGCAGATTACGCCACCCTGTCCAGGGGAAACAGCAGCAGGTAGGTAGGTCCCCTCCACAGCGCTGGAGCCCACCCAGTGTTATCAGGCCAAGCCCCCTTTTCTAGGGAAATAAGATATTATATCCAAAATGCAACGACACAAATGCCGTTGTAGTGGCTTTAAAACGTTTTTAACAGGATCTATTCAATTTTAAAACCCATTCCCTCATTCAACTGACATTGCACATGGATTTGAATGTTCTTTATTTGTTTTCATAGAGCTTCAGACACTTTAATCTTGGCACGATTAATCCACATAAAGTTAAAAGCTTCAAGATGAAAGCTTAAAATTGCATGAATATAACCCTTTTCACAACACACGTTTGATTAGTATGAAAAGCACAGATATTTTTCTGTTCAAGTGTCCTTTTAACGCCTGACAGTGTAGCGTAGAGTAGCCTACTGCAGTAACCCTAACTCATATTTGAAGAAGTGTGTTCCCAAGTGTTTTAAGGCCTCATTATAATTTCTGAATCAACACTTTTTCAAGAAATTAACTAGAAACCATCTTGCCATCCAATCAGCAGCAACGTCAAACCGGGCCAAGAGTGCTTTCCCATTTCTTACCTCCCTTCCTCAGCGCCCTTGCTCTGACCATACCCATCTTGGAAAACTTTTCCCCTCTTTTGACCCTAAATTATCTGGGGGCTTTTTATTTTTCTGAGTAATCCAGTTCTCACTTAAGTTAAGTAAGTGGACACAGCATGTTTTTCATTTTTCCTCTAACGAGCCCATGGGATTGATGTTTTACCTCAATTGACCAACATTATTCCTTTCTATATTAGCAGTAGCAGTGTAGAATATATGGTATAATATCCAGCATCCCTTTCCTGCTTTATTGGGGGAAGACACTGGGATACTTCATCACTGACAGGATTTGTACCATGGGAATTATCAAGAGATGATGACATTCTCCATCGCCAAGCTCATTATGTGGTGCCAGCCGAGTCAACTGATACATATCGCATATCAACAACCAGCAGCCTCTGATAAGACAACGGTCTCCTCTGCAAGAGGTCAATGTGTGTGATCTTTGAGCCTGTGGTGGGTAAAGTCAGCTGCTAATAAAATGGATGTAGTCTGGAGATTCGATGGGAATAAATACTATGTTAACACTGATGCTTGGTTAAGCTAAGCTAAAATAAGGGAGGAAAAGAGACAGAAGAATAGTTGCAAAGCAAAAAAATTTCAGGAGTTAGGTTGTGCAAGGTGAAGCCCAGGAATGGCAGGAATCCATAATTATCAACAATTCTGTGGCAGTATTCTCCTGTAATACAAACATGAAAGTAAACAGCAAAAACTGCTCTTATATGCTGTAATAAAATATGATATAGAACTGAAGGCAAAAACAGGAATAGATAAGCAACGAAAGAAAGAAAGTCAGACGAGGCTGGAAAACTAAAACAGAAGTGAAGCAATTAAGAAAAAACTGAGAAAAATAAAAGATTCTGGAGGATTCTAGTATCGGAGTCTGTAATTTGTTCAGAGCTATACTCTAGAAAACATCTGGAGGAGGTGTTTTACCTAATGGCTACACACACACTGAAAGCAAACCAGGGGTACCCTCTTCTTTTCATTCTACACGTGCTTTCGTGTAATTTTCTATGCAAGTGTGTATGCTTGTGTGAATGGACATGTTCCTATTTAAAGCTCCAATCAGGTTACGATGTGCAAATTACCCAACAATACCATGAGAGGAGATGGAAGCAGTGTTGCTTATGGAAAGTCAAGGCTGTATTGTGGTTAAAAAGTTATTGTCCTTGCGTTCATTTATTACAGTAACTTTTTGGTTCAACAAGACGACATCTGTCTACAATCTGTAGCCTGAGCTGATGTTTTTGCATCAGTGTTAAGATAGTCATACCATCTTTTAATTCTGCATACTGTAAAGTTAACACTAGGAATGACTACCAGGAGAAGAATGTAAATCAGAAATATAAATGTACCTCTTTCTAGTTGTCTGTTGCAGTACTGGAAATTGGAGGAAGTATTCAGATATAGTTAAGTAAAAGTGGTAACAATATAAAGGCTCTGCTAAAAGTATATTAGCAAATCTTCAAAAATCTTAATGAGGTAAAAGTATAAAATAAGCATTAAAATATGTAAGTATTCGGAATACAAGACGGTCCATTTTAGTTATCAATGCACTATGTGTTTATTAGTTTAACATTAGAACTGATAACAGAGGAGCTTTTATTAAATATATATACTGCAATGTAGCTTGCAAACTTCTTCTTAAACCTGTTTTAACACATGCTCAATTATTAGTTTTATTATATATTATTAATATGAATATTCAAAGTGATTATCAAAAACGTGGTGCAGTTAAAGGTACAATTATTGGCAAGAAAAATCTACAAGAGATTGTACAGTGCAATCAGAGAGATACAGTATGTCCACGTTTTTGAGCAAGTCCACGAATCCAGTCTTTGTCAAGTCTGTCGGTTAAGCATAAAGGGTGAAATTATTAAGAGAAGATATTAATTAATGCAGCAAATGTGCATATATTCAGTCAAGCAACTATACTACATTATAATTCAGCATTTACTTTCAATGCTTGATATAAAGACTGCTTTTTTATTTGAAGTTGAATTAAAGTCTTGTCAACATGCTTTCACAGTACTTAATTATGACCTGTAAGTCAAATTGAAGTGATTTTACCTCACTATTAAACCACATATATTACATCAGCCTGTTAAACAAATGTGTTTTTATGCACAATGATCAAGGTCTGCCCTCTAGTGAGAGAACAGCTGTTTGCAGCTGAACTTCACAACAAGCTAATGTTTCAGCTGCATGGTTGCCTGAAATCTTGTGAAACAAAACAAAAAAATCACACATGTCCACAACAAAAGCTACAGGAAAACATTTCCCCGTTCCTTTATCCTTTATGTATTGCAGTTGTTTTAACTGCCCCAATTTGTTTTGAAATTTGAAGGTTCAAAGTCTGTGTCTCAGGGAAAGTGTTTCAGTTATCTCTTAATTACCGTGGCCAAGAGGTGCGAACACGCTGCAACGGCCCAAAACACTTCCATGAGCTGCAGCTTCAGAAACAATGCAAATATAAAAACAAAAATGTGCCAAAACACATGCAATAGAAAAAAACATCTTTGGCAATTTGACCAGGGCACTAGTTATCGTTCAGGGATTATAAAGATGGCCAAATACCACTGTGGTTGTAAAGTTCCCCAAAATGTACGTATTATTGGATAATTTAACGATGTGATGGCATGATTCCTTCCCATATTATTGCAGATCTGCTATAAGCCAGCTAGCTATAGCTGAACTAGTCATTTCTAATAAAACACCTCCATTTATGAACAGGCTAACTCAACAATGTTTTGGGTAGTTGCACCTGTCAGCCACCGTACTTAATATATGCCAAATATAATTTAAAATATATTTCTGTAGTATTTTCTATGGAAAGTCTGCATGATTTCGGCAACTACAATCTTGATGTGTTCAGTTTGAGAGTGTTTGAGAGTTTTGTTAGATATAAGTGTCACCTGAAGCTAATTTCTATATTATCTTATTTGTGGTTCCTGTCTGATTCAATTCTAATCTTGGCTCGCCTTTAAGAACATGATCAAATGTAATGAATTTGTAACCAAGCAACATGAGTTACAATTAAAGGCACATTTTGTGCCATTTGGCCTTGGCTTGGCAACAAGCTTTTTATTATAAAACAGGGAACTGTGCTTATCGCTCCACAGGATGTGCTAATTATTTCTAAAGACATTATGGAATAATTTACTTCTTTCAACATTAATCAGATTCCAAGTGAAGGTCACAGAGAGAATGAAAAGAAGGCGGTAGGAAATGGAAGGAAATGCATTCACACACGTATGTACAGTATGTGGCATCACAGTGAGATTTGTTCTGGGAACACAAGGTTCATGTGGGAAAATAAAACAATGTTAAAGAAGATTAATGATGTTGATATGTTTATTCAATGCAAACAGTTACACTTTTAATGACATGATACAAAGGAAATCAGATTCTTTCACAGCTCCTTTCAGATGCTTTGAAAATATTAAATCATTAATGTATTAATTAATAATTAATCAATACAATTAACAGGATTACGTAATAAGGATACTAAAATAAAATGTAATCCCTAACAGTTACATTAAAAAATTGCGTGGTAATCAGATTAGTGGTATATTTAGAAAAAATGGGGATTCCGAAAAGGATCACAATGTTACAAAACATTTAAATGGGCCTCATTATGCTAATTATTTGGTTCATATTTGTATGTAGTGTCTCTACTGGGACATGCCTCCATGGTTTAATGTTCAAAAAGCTCTTTATTTTTCTCATACTGCCTGTGCTGCAGCACCTCTTTTCACCCTCTGTCTGAAACCAGAGCCCAGTGCTCTGATGAAATGGCCGACGCTGTTGTAATTGGTCAACCGCTTAGAAGTGTCCCGCCACTTAGCCTATCACTTACAATGTGTTGGAGTGCTAGCCAATAGGAGCACAAGTGTTACTGATGTCACTATTTTACGGAAGTAAACAAAGGAGTCCAATGGAGGCGTTTTTGGGGGGGAGTGTGTGGGAGAGAAACTCCCTCTGTAGGGAAGAAAGGATTTTAGCCTTTGCAGACCATTTACATGCACAAAAACCTATAAAACCAACTACAGGAAAGGGAAGACCCCAAAAAACAGGGCCCCTTTAAAATGTCTCATCTCCAACAGTCTACTTGATTCCCGCCATCATGTGGATCCACCAGTTGGCCTGCACGGTCCAGTCCAGCCGCTCACACTCAGAGATCTGGTGGAGGAAGTGCTCTTTGGCCTCCGCCTCACTCTGCTCCTGCTGCAGCGCATCCCGTAGGTAGCGCATGTCCTCTGCAGCGCTCAGCTCCGGGATGCCTGTCAGCAGCATGAGGGAGAACAGAGTGACCAGCAAGCGAGAGTGAGAGCGCAGGGAGAGGTACGCCTGGGTGCAAGTGTCCTAATATATAAACAGGAGAAAAACACAAGTAAGTAAGATACTGTAATAGGACAACACAAACACTGTCTGAAAAATATCTACAGTACATTTACTCCTATAATATTAAACATGTACAGCACAAAGGGAGTGCAACAATACCAAAACAGGAAAAGGATAGCTCTTTTGGCGGTAGCTCTGTCATCAAAGAGTATCAATGTATGTTCTTTGCAGTTACAACCGTAGGAGAGGGAAAACAAGTAACCGTGGAAACCAAAATCCAGTGTATCCTATGCAGTGTTTAACGATGAAAGTAGCTAACACAAGCTCCAAAGGATAGCTAAGATAACATCATGCATATTTGTGACATCATCACACAATCATTTATGCATTTGCAGGATTAGTTGAGCGCTTTAAGAGGAAAGACTCAACCCACACTGTCGCAGAAGTGACTGAGATTACTCTGAGCAGCATTTCGAATGAATCACAATGTAATGTATTTGAATATACAGCATTTCTTCCTTTTTCCCTGATGTTTTGAATGACAGTGACTGACCACACACAGTGTCCTTTATTACACCTGTGTGTCACTGTATCATGCATCATGTCAGTGCATCAAGGTAAAAAGTTAGACCACGGGAGGTCAGCAAAAACAACATTTCCAAGGGATAATAAGTTATTCTTTGTACTGTATAAAAGTTTCTTATAGAATCAAACTGGCTACATTATATGTATCTTACTAGATAGATGATCAGATGTGGGCCACTTTATGATGTCATAACGTTTTTATGGCTTGTGTAACCAATTAGCCAATAACCAACCTTTAAAGTATGGAGACCTGTCACAGCAGAGGCACAAAATATAAATATGAACCGGAAAATTGGTAATCTTCCCTATAATTACGCACAACAGACAAACACAACCACACACATTATCAGGTCTATTCACCCTGAACCGCTGAAAGTAGAGGCTGTTGCTCCCTTTGCCCCTGCCCATGACATACAGGAAGTCAGGTGTGAGGACGAACGGTACACGCTCCCTGCTCACGCCGAGGAAGCTCTTCCTGTTACCCAGGATGTGACCAAAGTCGATGTGAAACAGGTTCCCTGACAGGCCCAGAAAAATCTTTTTAGAGTAAGATCTGTCAATCAACTCAGCTGCTTTCATAATTTTATGTTCTGCCAATGCAGATTTACTCAAGAAAAATTAACAGTGCATACCTTGGTCTGTGATCATGATGTTGTCATTATGTCGATCTCCGATACCCAACACATAGGTGGCCACACAGTAACCAGCACAGGACTTCACAAATCTCTCCACTGTCTTGAAGTGCTGAAGTAAAATTAGATCAAAACAGTGCATTAACATCAAAGTTGCAGAGCACTTTATGTGATATGTGTTTTTATTTATAACATATTTTCATGAAAATGGAATATTCCTGAAATCACAGGTTCATTTTTATGCAACTCGACAACCATCAGATACCCATCCCCAAAAGTCTCTTGCTCGAAGATGACAATTATCTTTCTGATGTAGGGAAACAAAATGATTGAATGGCTTTTCCCACGTGGCAAAATACTGTACATCTATAAAATGTTTTAAAATGCCTGAAATATCTAAATATATCTGCATTTTTAGAACTGCTTTTTTTTCATACACACATATGCTATACTCACACACGTTTTCGACTTCATCCACATTTCCTATATTTCATTTTCATTTGTTGTTATATTGATGTGTTTTTTATCATGTGTTGTTCAAAACGTTTGCCAAATCATCATCAAATTGATATTGTTTGTATATATTGATCTCTAAAATTGTGAATTCTATCATTATTTAGGTGGAAGTTTCAAAGAAGCACAGTGGGTTTGTTGCCTCTTCCTGCACAGTATCTGAAATATATTATATTATATATCTGTTATATATAGTAATCTGTTATATTTGTGTATTTCTAATATATATATATTGTCACACTCCTAGGGTTATGTCACGTTTGTAATTTTGTATGTTTAGGTTATGTCACGTTTCTATGTCTAGGTTTAGGTTTTTTGTTGTTCTCCCTGTCATGTTTTTCCTCCTGTTTATTGTCTGGTCCTTTTCCCTGTGTTTTTCCTCCTGTTGTTAGTTTCCCTGGTGTGTCTAATTGTCTGATTATGTTCACCTGTGGCCTCTGTGTTTTCTCCTCCCTCCTCACCTGTGTCTTGTTGTGTGATTAGTCTTGTGTATATTTCAGTTCTGGGTTTTCTGTCTGTCTTTGTCGGTTCCTCTTGTTTAATGACTTGGTCTGCGGTGAGTGTTCTGTTCAGTTTTTGTATAGTTTAGCTTTGAAATAAAGGAGTTATTTTTTGCCAATTTAATCTGCATTTGGGTCCTGCTTCCAACACACACCGTGACATATATGGTATATCTTCAAAACAAAAAATAATAAATACTCAGATTCAGCTTACACCCACAATAACGTACATCTATATACCCTTACGCTAACTCCTAATAGGAAAGGGCAGCCCTATAAGTAATCAGTTCCTCTTATAACCACACTTTAGAACTTGCAAACTGTCCCTTTATTCAGATAAGATGTCAAAATGGTTTTATTGGCAGGTAAAACGTTAATAATGCACAGTCAAAAATAGAAATTACTTTCTTAACGACAGAATGTAGGCAACACCACGGACCAATGTGACTCATCTCATTAAGCTAGTACCACTCAAATAAGAAGGCCTGATTTGAGCATGGTTTCTCATTTGTAATGACATATTACAAGTGCATTGGGGTCCAAATCCATTTGTTCCATATTACTTACTATTTCCTGGAGTGGACATTTGGACTTTAGCCACTCAAACAGAGCATCGTTTTTGAAGGCTCCTATGGTTCCTCCATGGCTCCTCTGCACGGTGGCGATGGTCGCCGCATCCCTCACAATCTCTATCATACCTGTTGAGGAGAAACTTGATGAAGAAATTCAATTCTAATTTGATGTCTTTACAAGGATCCCCATTAGCATTAGCATGAGCCTCGGCTAATTCCTGAGGTTCACACACACATGCAGTCAATCACACATTTACGCAAAACAACACAGCAAACATAAAGGAAACATATAATGTAATTACAAATCAAGGATGGAAGTGAAACAAATATCTTCTTAACCATCATTAAGCCAAATACTACAAATAAAATGCTAATTACAGACAAACATAAATCCGGAAATGACATAAAATGTATCTTTCCTCTGCCTTCAGACATATTACATTCTTATTGTTAAATGTCTTGATAATATATAATTGTAAAGTAGACAATATCTGCCTTTTCATACACAGTGCACCATAATACCACCATATTAGTGGTAAGTACGGAGCCCTGGAGGGTAGAGAAAAATAAATAAAACGTGGAGATACCTTCTCGTGCAAACGCTTTAGTAAAGCGTGCGCACGAGTTACTAAAGCGTGCGCACGTGTTAATAAAGCGTGGCCTCGTTGTGTTTGTGTGTGTGTCTGTGTGTGCGCGCGCGCGTGCGCGCGCATTTGTTTATGATAGTATCGTTCGTTCCGGTGCACTCCGGCAGGACTATAGCACATCGAGATTAAGACTAAACGAATTTCTTTCACTTGGATTTGTGTAAATTACTGTTCGTGGTAATTTGAAAACAAATGCCGGTGGTGTCGGAAACACACCGAACACGCACACACAGAGCGGAGCTGAGCACACTCACGCGCACGCACGCACGCACGCACGCACGCACGCACACAAATCCTGCTTCGTAGTACAGGCCACTGGTGCCGCAGAGAAGGAGGTTTTCCTTCTATAAAACAGCTGTGGGCAGCAGATACTGTGAGTCACGGACAGGAATCCCTCAATTTAAATAAAACGAGGCCACGCTTTATTAACTCGTGCGCACGCTTTTCGTGCCCACGCTTTATTAACTTGTGCGAACGAGAAAGTAAAGCAATGAACCCTCCAGGGCTCCGGTAAGTGATAAGAAAATATATATTACTCTTTTTTCAACATTCTAAATGAATGAAGATTCCCTATTTCTGGACTGACCTTCATTACATGATTAATGTTGATATTGGTAAAAAGGGTTAGAAAAATACTGTTCTTCTTTCTAAATGGCTCTAAAATCATCCGGAAGTTGCCAGGATACAACATCAAATTATTTTTAAGTAGAATCAGGTTTATTGACTGTATAATCAGTTATATGATACGTTTGGTAACAACATGTTATTACGATTAACTTCATCTTTTAATGTCTAACTGATCAGTTTTCTTGATGTCATATTCTTTTTATTAATGAACAATAGAATAATTTAACCTATGTTGTTTCCCGTAGAGATGCAGCCGTATGGAACAAGGTTAAGGTCCAGAGACTTCTCCTGCCAGATAGAGTCCATCACCACCAGCGTCTAAACAGGAAGACACAGTCAGGTGTCACTTAATCCAAAGGCAAAACATTAAACATCATAAAACAACTTCAATTCTTGTTAACCTGAAGGACCAGCATGTCCTGTCTGAGGTCGTCCCCCTGTTTGAAGATTATTCCGACAGGTGTAGGGGAACTGGGAGACGGCATGGGAGAGAACTCCAGCCACAGCGGCTTCTTCTTAGAGGCCATGACCTTACATTTATCCAGCTGGAGGAGAGGAATACCAAGAAAACTGGTTTATTTCTGGTGAGACAGGTCACAGGGTTTGGATTTGAGTAATTCTTTTTTTTAATAATTATTAGGGTAATTTAATATGACTAATTTCTTCACATTCTGACTACTGTACGTCAGAGTAGCTGCTGATAAAACATAAGAAAATATAGTGCAGATATTGATACTTAAGCCTGGGCAGGTGGAAGAAATAGAGATGGATGGTGGGGGAGAGCAAAGTGAGAGGCAGCAGAGATAGGAGAAGACAAACAGAGAGATGAGAGAAAGGAGATAAAAAAATAAATGGATGTGATGGAAAATGAACTGAAAAAGTTTGTTTTACTTTCGACTCAAAGGTCAAACTCTCTTATTTATGTGGACACTGTGTGTGTGTGTGTTCTTAAACATGTACTAAAGAGCTGACTATGTTAATTATGGCATTGCAGAAACATCCACAGAAGATGAAGCCAGACAAAAATCATCAATATCATTCATATTCAACACACTCTCTCAATGAGTACACAAACATATGCAAAGCTTACCAGGATCCTTCCAGCTTTGATGCGGGGGTCATAGGGCAGCAAGAACTCATTTGGCAGATTGGAGTTCCTAAGAAGCTCTTGAAGTCTGAGGGGAGCTTCAAAAAATGAAAACACAGAGACACAACTTTAAATGAATGCACAAAATAAGCTATATTTATTTTATATACATAAACCTGGATCTTATCAATTTAAAATGCATAGGCTTTATTTCAATCGAATACATAAGCCTGGTACTAATGTATTTGAAACACATTGGATGTATTGATAATAAGGTTGTAGACGTAGTTATTATGTGTTTGCTGTGAATATGTAAATACACTGCGAAAAGGTGAAGTAGAAGGTCACAGTCAAAAGGACGACAACTTTACCTGGTCGGGACAAACTTCAACCCCGCCCCCGAAAATAATCGCTCATCAACTTTGTCGAAGGTGCATCAAGACGAGCGCAATATAAGGAGGACAGCAGAGGAGGGCGTAGGGAGGAGGGAAAGTGGGAGGAGCTGGAGGCACACGTAAAGTCGATAACCCTGCAGGAAGTTGACGCACAAGCAACTAGTTAAGCCCAGTTCAGGCCTCCCTCCCTTCTCTCCTAGCTCTCCCCATAACCACCTACTCGAATACCTTTATACGTAAAGTTTTCATTTTGTCCCTGTGTGTTTTTTGTGTTTTAGTACTGTGTACATTCATGTCTTATTTCGTTATCTTGTGTTGTAGTCAATGTGAAGGTATTTGTAGAGGAAATCCGTCTAAATGTAAGCAAATTCCACTACAACTTACTTTCACCTGTCATTCACAATAAGGTATATATAATACTTTTTCGGTCTTGCATGTTAGTCCTTTATAACCGTGATTATATTTCTACATAATATAAACTTAGACGTGTATTGTAAAGGTAAGGTAAACCCAATGTAATCAGATATGTATTTACTGACTATTG